CATAATATATAAAAGTTTTAATATATAGAAGGAAAGATCACATCACCATTTTAGCAGGAATAATTAACCTCATTTCAAGTAGGTAAAACAAAAAACGAATCAATATGATTATCGATAATGACTGATATGAAACGCTTACATTTTCCATCCAAACCGCCTGGCCCTAGTAGTAAATATTGTGTCGTAGTGGCATTCTTTGAGTCTTTGAGCTTTAACTGTTGGAATCAGCTCTGTTTGTCTGTCAGCAAAACATCTTCTGAACCATTGGACAGATTTAAAAGAAATGTTCAAAAAAGTAATCACTGGATTCACAACAGATGAACCTTTGGAGTCGGTCCAATTTCATACGGCAGGCACAGCAAACCAGCGAGAAAAAGAAGAAGACTATAACTCAGTCATGTTTATACAGTAGATGTTGTGTTAAAAATGGCATGGCAGTAACAGAGAGTTATTCACTGCACATGCCCTGAGAGCATGAGGCTGCACATAATCTAGTTTTGTCCAAAACAACTTAACTTGTTGTTTCTCAACATAAGATTATTTTAGTGTAAAAGTCTGACATGAAAGCTGTCAGGTTATGTGTATTCCTTCAAAGAATGATAGGTCTTTAATTTGAAGTAAGCACACAATAAGGTGGGGACAGCCTAATGTCAGCAGGCAGAGGACTACAGACCACCATCCAAGGCAGGCAGGGTGGGGGTCTGAGTGTTTGTTACACACTGTGCCGAACACCAACTGGCTGCAGTTTATAGAAACAAGGTGCCGGCACTCGCTGTCCCGACAGAATTACTTTCCAGCTCCTTGTGCTTTCACACACTTAACTTTGTTATGTTATGGATTTTATTTTCATCGTGGCATTGCAGCTCTGTTTCTATGCCAGACACTCATCGGCCACTTTATTAGATACGCTGCTCAATTGCTTGTTAACACAAATCAGCCAAACCTATGGCAGCAACTCTGTGCCTTTAGGCATGTAGACGTGGTGAAGACGACTTGCTGAAGTTCAGAGTTGGGGAAGAAAGATGATTTAAATGACTTCATGTMGTGAAGTTGTCGGTGCCAGATGGGCTGACCAGAATATATCAAAACTTGCTGATCCACTGGGATTTATAACCATCTTTATGGTTTAAATAGAATGATCTGAAAAAGAGAACAACTTCAGTGAGTGGCATTTATGTGGACAACTGAATATGCAAGAACATAACCTGTTAATGTCAGAGGAGAAATGTCAGAGTAGCTTAAATAATGACTCACATCTAACCAACATCATTTCTAAACACGTCTTGAAGCAGGTGGGCTACAGCAGCAGAAGACCACTGGGTTTCACTCCTGCCACCTATAGGAAACTAAAACAATTCACACAGTCAAAAATGTACAATAGGAGAATGAAAACAAACTTTGCCTGGTCTGATGAGTCTGGATTCACTGGACTCTAAAGGTCCACACATCCACCAGATCTGAATACAATCAATCACCTTTGGAATGTGGTGGAGAGGGACATCCACGTGACTGTGCAACTGCCAAACCTGCAGCAACAACACAATGCTATCATGTTAATATGAGACACAATGTTTATAACTCCATCGTTTCTCATCATGAGACGATCTCAGTTTAAAACTGTAGCGTGAAAGGCGGCGGGTGACGTGCATTCCTTCAGGAAGCTTAAGACTTTGTACACAGATTTATTGTGCAGGTGCAACGATGATAAAACCCTGTACTGAGTTAAATAACTTTTCCAACACTTTTAAATTGTCTGATCATAGGGGAATTGATGCAAAATCTCTTTTTTAGGAGTGAAAATATCTCCAGGAAGCCATGATATCAAAACACTTCTTCAGCAGCAGTGAAAAACATTTGTCCGGGTCGTGATCAGACTGTGAAGGGGTTTGGGCCTCTCGGAGCTCTTCCTCTCACTGAGGTGCGTGATGCCCGTTGGGGTCATTAACCTCCACTGCTAAGCTCCTTGTTGTCATACTGAAAGGCAGCTGCTGATCCAGTGTAGTTGTTTTTTTTTTTTAGAGAAAGCCTTGTAGCCGTGTGTGTACGTGCCTCACATGGCGTTTGTGTGAAATTGCGCATGCATGTGTGGCTTCTGTGTGTGTTTGTGTCGGATCAGGGGAGACAATTGGCGGCGTTCCTCCTGTCCTCCACCCCAGAGCTTTGCACGGGGAGTCTAACGAACATGTGGATTCAGATGGGACTCGACACTGCTCCCCATCCTCTGCAGCTTTTTAATTTGCCATGGCATGATCATTTACCATGCAGCAAGCTCAGGTACCAAAAGCACACAGTATGACTCGGCTTATTTGGACGGTTCTGTTGAGAACTGAACTAATCAGAAGTAGTGGACAGGTGGTGAAAGCTCTTCTACAGGTTTTGTCTCCGAGCCAATGTAGATTATGAGATAAATAGATTATGAGTAACTAATTATTTCACAGAGATTTTATATGATAAACCGACATCAATTTAATTGTGTAGWTGGAGAATAGGTGTCTTCAGGGAGTAATTTTTACTCAAATCTCAAATACAGCAAAAGTACATTCGTAGCGCCACGGCCTGCGCTCATTCTGACTTGTTTTGTCAGCACAGCTCACAAATAAAACCCGTCTTTAAAACTTTTTTGCAAACACAAGTGTGCGGCGTGCATTTTTTTGTTCATCGCCTTTGCCTTTAATATACCAAAGTAAAATGAGTCCACCTGTGTATAATTTAATCTCCGGAAACATACAGATTTTCTGTGAAGGCCTCAAGACTGTTTATTACAGCGCATCATCATCACGAAGCCCAAGGAACCCACCAGGGAGGTCAGGGATAATGTTATTGAAAAGTACAAAACGCAAAATCCCAAGCTTTGATCATCTCACCCAGCTCTGTTTAAAAACGGCACAACTGCAAACCTACAGAGACACAACTCCACCTAAACTGACCAACCAGACGTTGAGAGCGTTAATCTGAATGCTGCAGCTCATGGGGGTAATCTGTCCACAACAAAACAATTAGTCATGTTCTCCACAAACCAGATAGACACTTTGTTAATGCAGGAACAGAGAGGATTCACACCCACATGGACCAATTATATCAACCTCTTAAAGCAAACAAACAAACAAACAAACAAAAACGCTTTTTGAAGTGTTTGCTTTTGCTAAAAATGGATAATCAAAAAGATTATCATTTATCGAAGTCTCTGAATTTATTTTGAAGTATATGCAGCAGTAAACGTCACCTCTTACAGTAATGTTTGTGCAGTTGGAGATCAATTAGAAATTTACAGTCTCTGCTTTTCACACATCTACTGTAGCATCTGATATCAGGTCTCAGAAAGAACGCCAGGACTTCCTAACGGGTCTGAAACTTCAGCTGGGACAGCTGTGTTTTACTGGCTGCTAAACGGATGATTTTTAGGTGCCGGTTTCAGATCAGCTGCTGCCGTCATGAGGAAGCACGAGCACGGCGTTTTGTTGGTGAGTGAGTGTTAGCTGAAGGCTGGATACAAACGGGACTCGCATGTGAACTTTATGTGGGTCAGTGGGGTGCCAGGTCGGGTTTGAGGTCAGGTGGCGGCATCAGAGATTCTTCAATCAAAAACACAGAAACCAGGTGAAAAACGCAGTTGATTTTTTCCTGTTTTTAGTGTTGGTGGTTATATTTGGCAGGGATTTCCAAGTGATGAAATCAATAAATATTAGGGTCTGACCTCTCTCTTCTGCAGGTTCTGTTGGTGAGCAGCAGTCGACATCCGGACCAATGGATCGTTCCTGGAGGYGGGATGGAGCCTGATGAAGAGCCTTGTGGAGCCGCTGTTAGGGAGGTGTACGAAGAGGTGAGACCACATGACCAAAGCTTCACCTTCGGTGTTTGGAGATATTTAAAGGGATCCCCGATTAGTTGTAACATTAGACTTTATTTGATAAACATATATTTTAACTGTAAAATAAAGACTGTAAAAATACTGTAGGCTGTTTAGTTTTTATAATTTTTATACTAAAAGTTTTAAAATATATTACACGGACGGGGCCATTTTATTTACACGCAAAGCATTCTGGGTAAAAGATGACATGGACAGGTCATCGGTGTGAGCGAGCTATATCCACCCTGAAGGTTAAACTTGGACAATATCTGACGATCGGCTCTTTTAAATGAAACCAGAGAGCGTTGACAGAGAGGAGAAGGTAGAAATGACTCAGTCTGTAACTGAAAATATAGATGGAGGACAACAGAGCTGCTTCATGGAAGAAGAACTTCAGCTTAGCCTGTTAGCTTTAGCATTAGCCCAGACACTATCACCATATATATGTATTAGCTCAGCGCTACACATTCTCCTCTCGTCACTGAGGTCCTCCATCCACATGACAGAGAGGGGAACGCAGAAATGACTCAGCCTGCAACTGAAAATATGGATGGAGGACCTCAGTTAATTAGCTTGTTTGTTGCGTTAGCACTGAGCTYGTACATCTAAGGTAGCGTCGGCGCTAGCGCAAAGGCTAACAGGCTAAGCTGAGGTTCTTCTTCCATGAAGCAGCTCTGTTGTCCTCCATCCATATTTTCAGTTACAGGCTGAGTCATTTCTACCTTCTCCTCTCTGTCAACGCTCTCTGGTTTCATTTAAAAGAGTCGATCATCAGATATTGTCTAAGATTAACCTTCAGGGTGGATATAGCTCGCTCACACRGAGGACCTATCCACATCATCGTTTACCCAGAATGCTTTGCGTGTAAATGGCTCCGTCCATGTTAAAATATATTTTTAAAATTCACAAAACTAAACAGCRTACAGTATTTTTACAGTCTTTATTTTACAGTTAAAATAAATGTTTATCAAATAAAGTCTAATGTTACAACTAATCGGGGATCCCTTTAACTTCCAATCTGAACCTTTGTAGAAATTAAAATGGGTCAAACTTAAATGGTGTAACACTGGATATTACGTTTATTTCCTAACTCGAACTTCTATTCTGTTTCTCTTTGACTTTATAAGAGACTTAAATCTTTTTCTTCCAAACAGTGAGACAGGGTGGACYTATGTTTTTTATGATGGGTCGTGCTTTTTTTCTCTGGTGTTCTCGCTGCGTATGYGGGGCTTGTTAAAAATCTTGGTTGTGGAAGGCGACAACATTGAAGACTAATGCTGATTTTTAGGGGGAAAAAAGCTTATTTGATTAAAAACTGAACTCAAGTTGTGCAACGATAACCAGAAAAAATGAAGAAGCTTCAGCTTTTATTGAGAACATCTGTGACACAATGAAAAGATTTAGGAACAACAAACAAAAGCAGACAGGATTAAGTCGTTTTATGCTCGCAAAAGTCTTAAAGACAGACTGGAATATGTTTCTTGAAGAAACCAGGCAGAGAGAAACGAAGTACTTCAGTTATTAAAAAAATCTACAAACCACTGGTATGATGCTTCTACATTCTAGTCAGAATTGCACTGCTCAGCCCACATTATGAAAACAATTAAAAGCCTGGACTGACTTCCTCTCAGCTGTGTGATTACTACTCCTGTTAGGCAGTAAGAAATATGTTGCTGTGTTGCATAAACGGCGGAGTAATGGGTTGTGTGGTTGAGCACAGCGGATTGCTGGTTGTTGGCCAAGAAGTTTGACGGCACAGGGAGCTGTGAGCTTCTGCTGGGTGTTGTGTGATGTGCTGACAGCCTTGAAAAATGACTGTGACATTTAGGGGAAGGTTTCCAGTTACTGACATCCTGCGTCTCACTGACCCCACATCTATCTGGATAGGATGAGTATTTTTGAAGTTGCTGAAACCTTTCATGAGCTTGTTGTCGATATGAGGCTTTTCTTAAAATCAACAATTGTCAAATACAGTGCCTGGTCAAAAAATAAAAAATAAAAAAAAGTTGCCACCTGGATTTAACTAAACAAATCAGTACGAGCCAAAAAAAAGAGGTCAGCTGACTACCTGAATATACTGAATGACCAGGTTATTCCATCAATGGATTGTTTCTTCTCTGATGGCATGGGTATATTCCAAGTTGACAATGCCAGGATTCATGGGGCTCTTATTGTGAAAGAGTGGTTCAGGGAGCATGAGGCATCATTTTCACATGGATTGGCTCCACAGAGTCTATTGAAGATCTTTGGGATGTGCTGGAGAAGGTCAGACTCTACCATCATCAATGTAAGATCTTAGTGAAAAATTAATGCGACACTGGATGGAAATAAATCTTGTGACGTTGCAGAAGCTTATCGAAACAATGCCGTAGGGAATGTGTGCTGTAATCAAAGCTAAAGCCGGTCCAACGAAATATTAGGGTGTGTGACCTATTTTTTTTGGTGACGACTTTTTTTTTTGTCCAGGCAGTGTATTTTCGACAAAGCTCTGAAATATGACAGCTTCATTKATTTTAGCTGCATTTATTTCAAACAAAGAAAGCTGAAGCTGTTTGTTTTAAAGCACAGTTGTAAATTTATTAATGCTTCACAGCAAAGTTAGTTGCCCCCCACAGTACGACAAACTGTGCAGCAGAGACAAATGTATCTGTACTTGTGTTAAGCCCCCCCGTCTCATCATTCAGACTATGTTTAGGCCCATCTGATCATCTCTACTCTCCATGGGCACGTGGCAACACTGAACCAACTCTGATCTACTGTCTTAAATGTGAAAAAAGTTACATCAGAAACACGTCATTCACATCAAAAGGAAGACAGACTGTTTTTCATATGACTATAAAGAAATCATTATTTAAAGTTCAAACATTTCAGATAATATTAATGTACAAATCGATTATTTTCTGCTTTTTTAATTTATATATTCAGGCTGGTGTGAAGGGAAAGCTTGGCAGACTGCTTGGGATATTTGAGGTAAGTTTGTCAAATCATCTAAAAAAATTACAGTGAGGCTGGATGAAAGCCTGTTTCATCAAGTAAATGAGCCATAAGAGCTCTGTTTTGTTTTGTGGAGTGCATTTAGAAGAAAGGACAGTGTTTTGCGTGCACAGCATAAAGCCTGCAACTTGATGTGTGCAGTTTGTTTAAGAGAAATAAATCTCCTGTCTTTCTGTATTTTTGCAGCACAATCAAGACAGAAAACACAGAACTTATGTTTTTACTCTGATTGTGACGGAGACTTTGGAAGACTGGGAGGACTCTGTTAATATTGGTATGATTCYTTCTTTCTAACTTCACGTTTTTGTTGTCATTTTGTTATGAAGGCAGAATGAGCTTTGTGTAACAAATGTAACTGAGTATACTGAAGTAAATAGGCRTGAAAACAAACCAAATGTTTGATCCTCTGTGGTACATTCAAGAAAAAAGAGGCCAAAGTAATATTATTGCTAAATGATTGTCTAGATATTTGTCCTTTTTTAATGCATATTTCTTCATGTTTGAAATGTTCTGTTCTTTTCTTAGTTTGCTCTTAGTTCGATAAGTTCGGCGATGCAGTCGGTTCTAAATTGGTTTCAAATTTAGATAAGTTGATTCAAACGGTCACTTAAAAACACTGCTCAGTTAATACAGAAAACCAGTCAYCACAAAAAGCTTCAGACAGTTTATTGCTTTTGTATATTCAGGATATTTAAATCCTAAAATACAGACATTACATTGTTTTCATAGAAACTCCCCCTTTGTTTAGATCATTTGGTCTGTATCGTCCCATAACACTRGGTGCTCAGGTTTTTGTTTAGTACACCGTATAATCAGGATCCCTCAACTGACTGCATCAGCTAAAATTAAAGGATCTTTCTGTTGTTCTTCTCTAGTACACAAAAGTTTCTGTTTACATTCAGTTGCTTCCTGAAACCATGTTGTGTTGGATAAATCCTAACTTATAAAGCTCCTTTTTCTAAAAGAAAAACCTGAATGCGTGCAGTCACTTTTTGTCTTCTTCGAACAATAACAAACTAAGAAATAAGAAGCAAAGGTAAAGTAACTGCAAACAAAGATTTCTAACCGATGTGTAAAATGTGGTTTTTATCCCCGTCGCTCACAGAAATAGACTTCAGCCAGTTCACGTGGGGAGCTGCTGGTGGTGGGGGGGTCACTGTTTAACGTGTCCAGTTGTTTTCCAGTTATCACTCACCGTCCCTCCCTCTGACGCTCGCACAAAGGCTGTAGCTGAGCAGAAAGGGTTTGATGCTGCCGCGTCGTTTTACTCTCCCTCACGTTGAACTTTAATATTAGTGGGTGATTCAGTGACTGTAACAGATCCTCTGTCGGAATTAGAGGGATGGATTTGGGTAAACTTTAAGCTGATGGTTAAAGGATAAATCATTTTTAATAGAAGATACAGTGGTTTGCAAAAGTATTCATACCCCTTGAACTTTTCCATATTTTGTCACATTACAACCACAAACATAAATAT